CTGCATTATGTCTATTATAAAAATAAAGTATTTATCAGAAGTGGATTTGCTCGGCAAATGCAACAACCTATATGCTTGCCTTCAGAAATGAATACCTAATATAAATACTTTAAAAAATTTCACAAATCCTTGTGGCCTTTGATTTTCTTTTGTAATTCAATAATTCTCCAAAAACAAAACCAAAAACCAAATTGAAAAACAACTTTCCAGCTCCTTTTCCCCAAATTAATAAGATTTTTCTACAATGACACTTTTGCAAAAAACTGCTACAGAAACTGTTTGTAAGTGATATTTTATGTTTTGCCTCCAAAAGTTCAAAGTTTGTCTCTGTGATTACCGAAAGGAAGTTTTAAGACTTAGGTTTAGTGGCCTAAATGTGAGAAAGGAGATGCTAAGAATGTTGAACTGGTAAAGCTGTGTGACTTTGAGCAAATTATTTAACCTCTCTGAGCTTTAGTTTTTCTCCTTGCCATCTCCAGCTGTCCTTTGGAGCTCTTGTTTTACCTGCTTTCTGCAGATGCCTATGATCTGGGGGCCGCTATCCAATATTGTACTCATTTGATCTTTGCTTACAAAAGATAGAGAATTCTTGAATATAATATAATTTTATCTTAAACAATCATTCAATGTGGACATTTGCATGGATAGTCCTTGACTTAATTTTGAATTAATAAAATTTTATTTCATTGCTGCTTCACTGATTATTTTGAACTCCTATCAGAAAAAAATACCTGGTTCATGTCATGCTTATTGTCATAGCTCTTTTGCAATTCTTGAATAGTCACTTATAAAATGACCTGATCTTTAAGAGTTATACTTTATGTCTTTGCAGTCCCTGCTGACAGTTTATATTTCTTGTTGTTAATTTAAAATCAAATCACAGATAACCAAATAAAAAACATTTCCCTTTGTAACTTACTAAATGTCTAACCTGAAACTAATATAATATTGAGTGTCAACTATAACTGGAAAAAAAAATGAATGAATGAATGAATACATAAATAAGTAAATAAATACATTTGTTAAATCAGTGAATGCCAGAATGATGTGGAAAAAAAAGAAATTTCTCATAAAACAATACCACTGTGTATTGAAATATTTACCATCTCTCTTCCTACCTCCCGCCTTAGAATTCTGAGATGTGGTTCAAGCGTCACAGTATTGCTATTGGAGAGGTGCCGGCTTGTCGTCTTGTCTCCCGCAGGCAGCTGACAGAGGCCAACGTAGAAGAGATATGGAAGTCTATGACATTATCATAGTATGTGCATTTGATTTGATGAGACCTTTTAGTGGTTTTTATTTTTTTTCTAATTTGTTTCTCCACTATTCTCTGCATGTTTAGTTTTCTGAAATGATGTATAAAAATCTCAACTTTGATTGCATTGTTTGTAGCTATGCTGCTTATCAAATGTAATTTAACCGAATTCTGGGTATTTTCTATTGTCATTTGTATAATAAATAATAATTAAAATTGGAAAGTTCTTAAACTTTCTAGTAACACTGAAATCTTAAGNGGAGTATATTGAAAGGCAGAATAAAGACATTGGACAGCTTTCTACCTCTTCTGAGATGGATTTCTAGACCGAACCTTCAATCTCAGTGTGAAGTGTTGGATATTCTAGGGAAGGAGGATTAATCTTTATTAGAAACAGTTATAAAAATGAATATTAGGTCAAATAATTTTTGTGCTAGTATACTCTTCCTCAGCAAGTATTACTGAGGACTTATCTATCAGTAATTTCTCTTTGCATACTTACCATCTATAAAGTTCAGTTGGAGTTTGATGCAGTAAGGATTTCAAGCTGGGTGAAAGAAATAGCTTACCCAGGCATCCCACTACGAGCATATTTAATCATGAAAGTTAAGTGATGAGAGAACAAGTTTTACTTATTTAAACATGTTTCACATGTGGGAGTCCTGTTTTTCTTCATAAATGTTATTTGATGGGCATGATGAATGAATATTTTTAAAAAATGTATATTGTTGAGCACCATTAGTCATGATTAGCAATGATTTGATTAAGTATGAGTTCATTTATTATCTGAAGTTTGCAATTACATAAATTCTTAAGGATACAAGAAGTGGGGACTATGGTTAAATTATCTGTGTCTTCTACTGCCTGCAGTAATAGAGATTTTCTTCTTGGTTTTTAGATTTCCTCCTTCTTCACCCTTGAAACCATATCCAAAGAGGCCCCCAAATCCAAAAGAAGTTATTAAATTTCCAGAATGGAATGACCCCCCACGAGGCACTTCACAGGAGAACATCCCAGTGAGGCCCATTGTGCTGGTAAGCGCCGTGACCGACAGGGCTGGCAGCAGGGAGAAAGAAGTAGCCAGCAGTCTGTGAACCACCAGGCATAGTCCATGTCTTTCAGTTGGCTCCTTATGAACGATGGTCTGAAAGTACTTTAAAATGATACCTTACCTGTCAATGGCTAAGGGACCAGTAACAAAAGATTGGCTTTTGTACTATTTTACTCTTGCCTATTGATAGTTTGACTGAATATATGGTAGCTGTGTTCGTATGTTCAGACCAAATTCCGTCAAAACGCCCTAATAATCTCCTTTTCCTTTCTGTTCTATAATCTGCTCTTTACCTTCTGTGTCTCCTCCTCTTGAACTTTGTTATAATTATGACCAGTTGAGAATGAAAAGTTTGGGGAACGGAGTATTTATTGTGGAATGAGCCCTACAACAAAGTATGACCAAAGGTAGATTGTGCTAGTTTTGGAAAACCTAAGTGCACGGTAGAATGAAGTCATTCTTGGGGGGCATACTTTTTCCTGAAAATATCCCCAGTAGAAGACTACCAAGATTGAAATAATGCTAAATAATAAAATACAGGGAAAAACTTTTATAGGGCAGTTTTTAAGAATTGTGCTAACACCAATGTTTTAAGTTAATCTAGTCTTCTAAGACTAGATATCCAACTCATACTTTTGTTTGCAAAGATTTGATGTAAACATTTTAGGCAACATAATTAGGATTTTTTTTTTNGGAGTATATTGAAAGGCAGAATAAAGACATTGGACAGCTTTCTACCTCTTCTGAGATGGATTTCTAGACCGAACCTTCAATCTCAGTGTGAAGTGTTGGATATTCTAGGGAAGGAGGATTAATCTTTATTAGAAACAGTTATAAAAATGAATATTAGGTCAAATAATTTTTGTGCTAGTATACTCTTCCTCAGCAAGTATTACTGAGGACTTATCTATCAATAATTTCTCTTTGCGTACTTACCATCTATAAAGTTCAGCTGGAGTTTGATGCAGTAAGGATTTCAAGCTGGGTGAAAGAAATAGCTTACCCAAGCATCCCACTACGAGCATATTTAATCATGAAAGTTAAGTGATGAGAGAACAAGTTTTACTTATTTAAAAATGTGTCACATGTGAGTCCTGTTTTTCTTCATAAACGTTATTTGGTGGGCATGATGAATGAATATTTAAAAAAAATGTATATTGTTGGGCACCATTAGTCATGATTAGCAATGATTTGATTAAGTATGAGTTCATTTATTATCTGAAGTTTGCAATTATATAAATTCTTAAGGATACAAGAAGTGGGGACTGTGGTTAAATTATCTGTGTCTTCTACTGCCTGCAATAATAGAGATTTTCTTCTTGGTTTTTAGATTTCCTCCTTCTTCACCCTTGAAGCCATATCCAAAGAGGCCCCCAAATCCAAAAGAAGTTATTAAATTTCCAGAATGGAATGACCCCCCTCGAGGCACTTCACAGGAGAACATCCCAGTGAGGCCCATTGTGCTGGTAAGCGCCGTGACCGACAGGGCTGGCAGCAGGGAGAGAGAAGTAGCCAGCAGTCTGTGAACCACCAGGCATAGTCCATGTCTTTCTTTTGGCTCCTTATGAACGATGGTCTGAAAGTACTTTAAAATGATACCTGTCAATGGCTAAGGGACCAGTAACAAAAGATTGGCTTTTGTATTATTTTACTCTTGCCTGTTGATATTTTGACTGAATATATGGTAGTTGTTTTCGTATGTTCAGAACAAGTTCTGTCAGAACTCCCTAATAATCTCCTTTTCCTTTCTGTTCTGTAATCTTCTCTTTACCTTCTTTGTCTCCTCCTCTTGAACTTTGTTATAATTATGACCAGTTGAGAATGAAAAGGTTGGGGAACGGAGTATTTATTGTGGAATGAGCCCTACAACAAAATATGACCAAAGGTAGATTGTGCTAGTTTCGGAAAACCTAAGCGCACGGTAGAATGAAGTCATTCTTGGGGGGCATACTTTTTCCTTAAAATATCCCCAGTAGAAGACTACCAAGATTGAAATAATGCTAAATCATAAAATACAGGGAAAAGCTTTTATAGGGCAGTTTTTGAGAATTGTGCTAACACCAATGTTTTAAGTTAATCTAGTCTTCTAAGACTAGATATACAACTCATACTTTTGTTTGCAAAGATTTGATGTAAACATTTTAGGCAACATAATTAG